TTGGGGTAAAAGATCACTTCGTTTTTATAAGTGGAGGAACGTTTGTATTGTTTTGTTATGTATATATCAATAAAAATACATGGAATACAAAAAAAAATGAAAAAAAGTTCGGTGACGAGGCTACCTCGTGAAATATGACTGAGCACATTGTTATTATTGTTTTAAGTACTGAAGGCGTATTGAAAACACGTTTTTTAGAGTTGAAACGTTTTCGGCTTATCAAGACATCTTCAGGTAGATTATGGAAATTAGCTATCGGTTAGATTGTAATAACCCTTAGGTAGTTCCCATTGGGAACAGTTTAACAATGCACATGGTATTTTGTTTAATATTTAAAGATGGTTTAATCTTTGAATAAATAATTCTTCGCAGATCTCGCGTTTGAGCTTGTGTTTGGAAAAACAAAGAATGGATCAATTGAAATGTTTCTGGAGGTTTTCCTTTAGGTGTTTTGCTGGTTTTGAATAGATGAGGTGACGGTTTTCACCGCCATCTTTTCCGCTAGGCATAGTGTCGCAAAATAACAAGGAATGACYGGGAAATCGATGTCAAATAATTTCCGCTGAATTCAAATTCAGAAAGAGTTATCAATTGCAAACGTTAGATACTGTAAAAAGGAGTTAATTGTCCAAGTTTGAAGGGCGTACTTGATCTAGAGAGCGAGTAAACTCATTTTTAGATCTTCCCGGTCATTTCTTGTTACATTGCGACACTATGCCTACCGGTCCAAGATGGCGGCCGAAACCGTCACCTCATCTATTGTGTTAGGATTCTGTTGTTCTTGTTTTCGGACTTCGAAGTTCCTGAGTGTTTCTCCAATGTAGTAACATTTGATTTCATTATTTATTACAAATATACTATTGTAATTGCACTTATGCTGCTCCCACGGCGGTGTCAACGTACTGCGTGATACGCGGTGAAAACATGCCCGCGAACCCCCTAGATACGACCGCTTCCACCGGTCACGTTAAGTGCCTCGCTTAACATCTTCCTCTGTCTACGGCGCAGTTCTCCTTCATTTTTTTGAGACTTTTCAAGACTTTCCTTTGCTACCAGTCCTCAGCCTCGAGTGAAAAACATTTTCTGAGATTTTTTAGTTAGAAAAACACAATATTCCAGCCTACCTCATCGGTCTCCGCATTCTGTTGGGACTCGTAATTGTCTACGGATCGGAAAAAAATTCCAACTAAAATTTACTACTTTATCAATGAAAATTCAAGAATCCTATCCTATAGTATCAATACTATTAATAACGTCCTTTCACGCCGTGAGACTAATACACAAGCCCTGAGCCTGGGCAACCTGTGATACTGTCTTGAATAAAAAGTTCAAGTAACCCTGATTCCATGCACCTCTGATACTTAGAAATGAAATACAAGCTGCTACCGATCCGTATTCYCAGGTTTATTTCATTTGTACCCCAAGCCTTATTACATTTCTGACTATGACTCTTATTTGTGATTACAATACAATGTAAACCTAATCCTGAGGCCGCAAATCTAATCCAAATGTCAAACCTAACCCTAAGGTTCAAAAAACATATAGTCAAAACCGTGGGTCATGTGACCCTCATTTCTAAATTACAATTACAATTACAATAAGTGAGTTTCCAAACTTAACGGCCATAAACAGCTAGAATAGCTCTACACTTGTACCAGACTTCMAGGTACTTAGCAACACCTCTGCACGGGTCGTGACCAAAGAACTTGTTCGTTGGATTTACAAAGCAAGAACGAATCCCATCGCACTTAGTCTTGAGTTTGGTCGAGACGCTGAACAGGCATTTGGTTTGTCTTTCTCTTCCGCACGTTGTTTTGGATGTACGGCCATAGTTTGCCTTGGTAATCACAATATAGCTTCTGTCAGGACAGTGGATATATTGCTTTGATCCTTCACAAATTATCGCCTTACGAGACACTTCTATAAAGACAGAAAATTGCATATAAATCCACAAGCCCAACGAAGTCTCGCAGCTGATATGKCAAGAACTGTCGAAAACTACTCCTGATCTTAGAATATCTTAAAATTTTGAAGTATTTTAACTCAACTGTTGATATTCATCTTGCAAACGTCTGGATTATGAGCCAAAAAAAATTAGCAAATTCCTTCGATTGCGATTAATTTCAAAACCAATGCAAATGATCTGCAATTCYTTATTTTTTTCAAATTGTGTATAAATATTATTGCTATCATAGTACGCGCTCTCTGTTTGKTCAAATKCTATTGTTTATTTCACCGGTAAACGCACGGATGCGAAAATGCTATAACATATAAACATTCAAAAGGCTGAAAATCTCTTGCCTCCGGCTCGAGATCTTTTTACGCCCGCCTTTTTCGTGTTCTCCGAACATCCCYCGTGTTTTATTAATTCACAAGGATCGCAAGAAAATGTGCTTTTTTTTACTTAAATGAATGTCGTTAATGCCATAGATAGGAAATTGAGATGAAGTCGTTGAGGTCCAAGAATCAATRGGAATTTAATTTCTTGAGAAGTTAAGAGCCACTTAAAAATCACAAAAATCAGACATATCTTGGCAAGTCTCGAAAAATCAAATCTATTCATATTTTRTCTATAGATAAGGTATGATTAAGTAACAATCGCTTTTWGAAAATATTTCRTTTTTCGCAAGAAAATCGCTTAACAATATCACATACTGGGSCTTGGCAGTTGCGTGAGAAATGTTCGATGGCTAAAAATARCACTCAAAAKAGCCAAACTTTCTATACCGAGCTTGTGCGTAAATTTAAATTGTGACTTTACTAAGTA